GATTGTAATGCCAACATATAGGTTCTGTTGGTATCACTTCTGTTGGCCCAAGTCAAGTCATATGTCCATCCCTGAACCAATCATCTATGGCTAGTTAGAGGTGATGGTGACTCTCCTTGCCCAGGTCTGGGTCATGTGTTCACTCTCCGGCTCTTCTTGGTTAAATCCTCACTCAAATGATGTGGCCTAAAGTGGAACAGTGAAGGTTCTTGTACCAGAAGAAGGAACAGAGGTGGACAAGAAAACCAATACATGCCTACATGGTTGACCTTTTTAAAATTGTTGATATTCAGATGCATTTGATTACAAACATGGTGACTGACAGGACTCAAGCTATGCATTAATTCAGCTGTCTAGTCCTTTACTTTGTTCTCTCTAGAATCTACCACAATTTGCAATATCATGCACCATATATGTCAGCCAAGCAATAGGTTGTTCAATGTGTAGTGATTTAAGTCTTAGGTAGCAGCCTCAGTCATCTTTCTGGGCCTCCTGGGCATCCTGGGTGGTACACACAGCACCTTGGCTTTGTGCATGGGGCTGAGGTTACAAAAGGCAACTTCCACAGGCTTCTGTCATCCTCACCCAGCACCTGGAACAGAGCAAGTGATCAGCAAATACTCACCAAATAAACATTAGTTCTCCAACAAATGTTTATTGCTGTTGGGAGGTGGTGGAGCCTTTAGAGGTGGGGCCTAGTGAAGGTCTTTATGTCATTGCAGGTGTGTCCTTGAAGGGCTTGTAGGACCCTGAGCTCTTTCTCTTTGCTGCCTGGTTCATAATGTAAGCAGTTTGGCTTCTCTTTGTGCTCCCACCATGGTGTGCTGCTTTGCCACAGGCCCAAGGCACTGAGACCAACTGATCATGGACTGGAAACTCCAGAACTATGAGTCAAAATAAACCGTTTCTCATAATACATTGATCATCCTGAGTATTTATTATAAAAATGGAAAGTTGACTAACAGAGTCTATTGCCTTGAACCTTGGCAGGCTTCTGTATTTATCAAGGGAAAAAAAATGACTGGGGGTATAAATGAAAGGCAGAGTGCTTGCCTAGCATTTGGAAGGTCCTGGGTTCAATACCCAGCACTACAAAAATAGAAAAAAAAAATTGTCAAGACAATCGCAAAAGCGTGCCCTGGAAAAAAAGAAGGTATTTATCCTATCACCTGATCCTCTTGCCAGGACACCTTTTTGACAGTGGCTTCATTCATCTGTTGTTAAGCTCTTATGGGTGACTCCACTCCCAAAGAGAGCTCTTGTTAGCTTCTGGGAACACTGCTTTTGCTTTTTGCCCATTGTTAAAGAAAAATTTATTCTGATGCTTGCTAGAGTGGTCAGGATTGTTGCAATACATGCTTTGCAATAGGGATGTGAGGGGGGACTCAACTAAAAATACTATAGAATAACTGGATTTATAGCCAAGGAGCAGGGCAGTTGAGGGGGGCTGTCAGTTGATGGAAAATATCTAAATGTCATGGTTGGTAAGTAAATTCTTGCTAAACCTGTTAAATAGCATTCTGCTGAAGGTGGAACAAGGACTTATATCTCAAAGGTGGGAGATGAGGAACTATCATCAGTTATGGTGACCAGGTAGGAGTAGGATGGGAGATCTTATTAATTAACTTAGTAGGATTCTTGCTAAGACCAGGCGGGGGAGAAGGATGACAGGAAGGAGCTATGGTTGAGGCCCAGGTGAGAAGATGACTCGGGAGCCTAGCTAAAGTTTGCTTAAGGACAGAGTCTCTGTCACTCTTCAGGGAGGCTGTGACTGACCCTTGGTGCCTCACTGACCCTTGTTGGTTCCCGTCTACTCTCTGTGCATGGTACTTTCATTAACTCATTTGAACAATGGTTTCTCCCTCTCCTGCCAGGCCCCTGACTATTGGTCCTACTAGCAGTTACAAAGAAATGAGAAGATTGATGCAAAAGCACTTTAGAAGCTCCATGGATAAGGAAATCATCTTCAGGAATGAGGGGAACCTCAGGGCAATGCATGGGACACAGACTGGGTCTCAGTCTAGGTTCAAATCCAGCTTCTCCCTTTGCTAGCTATGCTAATGGGGGTGAGTGCTCACCTTCACTGATGCTCCAGTTCCCACCCTGCTATAGTCTTGAAGGACCAAATAGGATAACACCTCCCCAAATTTCCAGACTCCTTAGCACATGACAGTTGGTAAATATATTATTATGTTCCCACTCCTTCCCTTCCATCCCTATCATGAAATTGTTTTCTCAGGCAGATTTTACAAAGCCACTGACTGGTTATATCCACGGAGTGTACAAGCATTTCACAGAATGCTTTAAACCCTTTTCTCATCTCTCTGAGAGCTGGAGCTTCCTGCTTTACAATGAATGGCTTGCCACAGGCCAGACGTTTATTGAATTGTCCAGAACAAATGTTGTTTTCCTCTTTCATGAGACATCATAGGGCTCTGATGTAGAGCAAAGATTACATTTTGGTGTTATTTCCTTTTTATTTCTTTCAATTGAAAAATTGATAACTAGAGTTGTTACAGAAAACAGTCAAGCAACACTGAAGTCTATATAGTAAGACTGGCAAATCTACAGCTCATGCACTTTCTGATGCTCACTTAGGGGATTGGGGTACAAGAAGCCTAGAAAATAATATTTTTTTCAGTCTGTATCTTGAACCAATACAGAAATAAAAGCAAGACAGATGGGGCTAAATATCTTTCCCCCCCTTTTTTTTTTCCATTTTTGAATTGCTCAGGATGGAATACGGGACCTTGTGCATGCTCTACACCTAGCACAAAATATCACCCTTATTAGTAATCAAGTTAGTCTTGGAAGATGTAGTTTACATTTGTGGGCAAGCAGGGTTTCTAACACTAGACCCAAGAATTAGATAGACAAGCCATTCTCCACTGAGGGTACTAGACCAACAACTAGGGGAAAAGGACAGGGCAGAGCCTTGACTACCAATTAGTCTCAGCTTGGGTAATCCAGTTACAGACTCTTTGTAGGAAGGTGAGCTGTCAAAGATATGAGAAGGGAGAGAGCAGAACTCTTGCCAGTTTTTCCTTATCCCAAATGCAGTAGTCATGTAGATCTGGCCTCACCTCCGTGTATGCGTGGGTGCATGCATACCTGTGTGCATGGGTATGTGTTAATGAAAAGGTAAAAAGAAGTCAGGAGGATTATATCAATGATTGCTCTCCAAAGGAAATAAAATATCCAGGACAGGACTCAGGGTTCCCCTTCCACAAACACTATCTCCAGTTTTCTCCTGCTGTGATGGTACTTACTCAAACATCCTCACACTTATTTCACTGGGTGAATATTTGTGTAGAAAAACATCCTAGTGTTGGTGGTTGCATGTACACTTCAGGTCATTCTACTAAGCACATTGCTGAACAGCTCCCCCTTTATTTCTGCTGGTCCCTACCAACCTCACCTTAACAATAATAGTGTCTTCTGGAAGGGCAGGTGGCTAAGGACTGGAGCACATTGTAGCTTTAACAGCTGCTTAACACTTGGAGCAGAGGGCTTACCCATTTAAGCTTCTGAGCTAAAAAAGACCTAGTCATGTAGTAGATCCTCCTCCATCCTCAATGCCCTCCTCTGTCCAAAGGGTAAATCACCTGGAGATATGGTGGAATCCAATGAGCTCACAAAGTGCAGGGGAGAAAGGTTAAGGAAGGAGGAGAGGCCAGAGTAAGGGTGTGGGCACCAGTGCAGAGAAAGAAAATTTGATATGGCTGAGGGTGAAGCTCATTGGTAGAGCACTGGCCCAGCATGTGCAAGGCACTGAGTTCAAACCCCAGTATAGGAGGGTGGGGTGTGAGGGTGTGAGAAAGAAAGAAAAGAAAATTGTGTGTCTATAAGAAGGAGCCATTCGAGGGACCTTGTACTGATGGATCAAAAGAGTAAGCTAATCCCCGAAAACCAAAAGCCAAATGTCTCTCTGATAAGTGGATGCTCATCCTTAATGGGGGGGGGGAGGCATGGGAAAAATGGGGAAACTGTGATTGGGCAAAGAGGGGGCATCGTAGGGGGCATGGGGGCAGGAAAGATCGTGGAATGAAATGGACATCATTACCCTAGGTACATGTATGACTGCACATACAATACATCCTGTACAACCAGAGAAATGAAAAGTTGTGCTGCAGTTGTGTACAATGGATCAAAATGCATTCTGCTGTCATATACCTAATTAGAATTAAAAAAAAAAAAAAAGCCAACCTCCAGGACAGCCAAGCTGAGGCTCTCTCAGGTCCAGCAGGCTTACTGAGAGTATCTGACTAATACTCCAATAAACCCTAAGAGATCCAGGAAATGCAATGCCTCCAAGGCAGTTTATCATCTCAAAATGCCTAGGGGTACTAGAAGGTCCTCTTGGGTTTCACCTGATCATCAAAGATTTCTTCTTGTGATGGACCTCAAGGGATGGAGGTGTGCGAAACTTTCTGGAATGAGCAAGTATAATACCTACCTGAGGTACTGTGGGTTGAACTCCACCGCACTTTACCACTAAGATACATCCCCAGCCCTTTTTACATTTTTTATTTTAAGAAAGGGTCTTGCTAAATTGCTTAGGGTCTCAAAGTTGGCCTTGACCTTGTGATTCTCCTACCTCAGCCTCCCTAGTCACTGGCATTACAGGCGTGCACCACGGTGCCAGGCTGAGTATAACCTGAATAATGAAGAAAAACAAAGTGAAAATGGGAACAGGTAGCTGTTCCACGGGAATAAGTGCAATAGGCATGCACTGAGCCCCTACTTGGAATCAAGTTTGGGTATTACTCCATACCACACTAGGAATAAGAACACTGAGACTCAGAGAGGTGGCTTGAGTTGCCCACGAGCACTCAGCGAGCTTGTGGCTTGAGTTTGTAGGCTCGGGAGAGATTGTTTATTCTGGACTTGAGGGGGAGGGCTGCAGCCATCAAGGCTGAGCCGAGCCTGCGGTCAGTCGGAGGCTCCAGGCCCCCGAGCCCTCCCTCTGCCTCCTCCCCTGCCAGCCTTTGCGCCGGCCCCAGCCAGTGAGGGCTGGGTGGAAGCGAGCAGGCAGCGCGGTGTCCTTATCAGTGGGCTAGGCGGCTCAGCGCGGCCACCTTGTCCGAGGAGCCGCAGTCCAAAGATCCGTCGCAGACCCGGTAGCCCAGCTATGTCTTCTCGGGGTGAGAGGTCTGCCCAAGGTCCGGAACCTTGCACGAGGTGTTGAGATCCCCAGCTGGCAGAGCTCACAGGCCCGCAGCCGTCGGGGCGCCCGCCTGCAGCTCATCAATCACCACCATGCGCCCCAGCCTGGGGTCGCCGCCGCTGCTACTGCTGGTGCTGATGCTCGCCTGTGTCGCGCACACGGTGAGTACCGTGCTGCTCTCGGGCAGGGGTCGCAGGGGTCCCACCCCACCCCCTTCAGGTTGGCGGCCTCCTGCTTCTCTGGTTCAGCCTCGACCGGAGTGCAGGAAAACCTGCTGAAGAGTGGGAACCCACCCTCACTCCTGCAATAATCTCTATGGGAGACCCCCTTCTCGCAGAGTCTAACAGTCTGTGCGATAGGAGAAGGTGGCTCTAAGGTAAATCCCCTGGCCAGACACTTCAACCCTTCCTCCAGCCGAATCCCTCCTGGACAGAAATTCTGCGCCACCCCTGGCAATCCCTAGTGTGCTGGATGCTTTGTCTCTAGTATTTCAATGAAACCTCCTAATCGCCTTTCCAGATTATTATCACCCTCGTTTTACAGATAAGAAATCCGAGGCTCAGAGAGGAAGAAAAAAAAATATTGCCTCATGTCAGAGAATTGGAACCCACATTCGTCTGTCCCAAAGCCTTGACATTTTCACACAGGCCCAACTACAGATGGGACAGTCCCAGAAAGCTGTGGGACGGTTTGCAGCTCCCCATCCCCCGCTCCTGTGGGATTTGGCTTCCTAATGTCCGTCTGTGTCCTGGCTCCTGGGAGCAGCTAGTTGGTCCCCACAAACCGGGTTCAGAGAGGAGGCTGGAACAAAAAGAGAAGGCGCCACGGTGTGTGGTTTGTTTTCCTTTTCCCATAGAAACTCATGGGAATTTTGGTCTTCTGCTACTGGGATTTGTGAGTGAGATGCTGCATCCAGATTCTCAGGATGGAAGGAATTGGGAAAGGGGCCCGGGTGGCAGATTCCACAACCCTCCCCTCCAACTAACATTCTAAATTGGCTCACAAGACCTGTGTTCCAAGAAATGTGCCTAGGAAAAGCAATTAGGGACCCAATTCTGAGTCTCAGTGTCTGTCTTGGGCAAGTCCTTTCTAGCTTTGGACAACTTTGCCTTCCTATAGTATGCTCCTTTTTGATTATAAGGAATCCCTCTACTCCAGGCATTGATGAGCATGCTGACACTCAGGAGATGCCCATCTTTCTGACATCTGTGTAGCATTCCAGCAGCTGCAATTCAAAAGTGCAATTTGGGACTCACTCTCAACTCCCAGGTAACCTTGGAGCCTCTTGTATTCAGTGGCAGTACTGATATTGGAAGGCGCAAGAGCAACAGCACCCACTCTTTTAGTGTGGACTCCCAGTTTGGGGAAATGCTATCCGGGACAATGGGAACAGTTCAAAGCCAAATACGGCTTGGAGGTGTGTTATTTAGGAATGGGAGAGGCAGTAGCTTCTTTTTGGGAATCTAGGTTGTCCTAACTGGTACCTGGGCTGCAGAACTGAGATTCAGCTTAAATTTTAACCCCAAGGGGACCTCCCAGGTCATCTCAACATCAAACAGAGGGGAAAAATGAACATCTTTGCTTGGTTCAAACCTTCAGTGTACTTTGGAAACATGGGTCCTTATACTGTGGTTCAATTCCCTCATTTTAGAGGTGAGAAAACTGAGACTGACAGAGAGAAGGGAACTGCTCAAGGCAGCAAGTTAGTAACAGAGCCAGGACTAGAACCCAGATCTTTTGATTCCCAACCTGCTGGGACTCTGTCCATGACACTTCCTTGTTTTTGGATGTCATTTTTATAGACCCACGTACTGTGTCATATTATTCTTAAGAGAGGGTTTCCTGTGTATAAATTGCGGTCCTCCAGTTCCTCTCTGGGTTTATCCAGACCTGACGTTGTATTTCATACTTCTTGGCACAACACTTTAATAAATTAGAGTGGGATCGACCTACTTCGGCTGGAATATTTCCCAGCTGTTGAAATCTTGTTTTCCTTCTGTTTGACTCTGGGTGGTCAGACATTTGATTTTGAAATTCAAGGATATTAAAAACAACTTTTTATTCATTTGGGATTCCCCCTTGAGGAAGATCAGACGCATCTTCCTAAAGAGTAGGCGCTGAGACCAAATTGCTTATTCCTACCACTTCCCCCAACAAACACACATATCCCACCTCTTCATTCAGGGAGATGAGGAAGGGTCCCCTGTAAGTGAAAACCAAAAAATGTTAATGGCCAAAGGGGAAAGTTTTTCTGAGGCAGTTTTAAGAAGCAGTGAGAATTAGTATCTCTCTCTCTCTCTCTCTCTCTCTCTCTCTCTCTCTCTCTCTCTCTCTGCTGTACCCACTATGGTAAACCTTGTGAGAACTTTCACCTAGAACATTACCGTGATTATTTACTAAAACATCTGGTCCTCTCTCATCTCCTCATGCACACAGCTGGAGCTTGAGCACTGAGACTTCCTCCTGTTAATCTTTTAACCCAGCAGCCTGTCCCACTGTAAGAAGGAGCTCAACATGTATGTGTTGAATGAATGAATGAATGTTGATGGTGCCCACAGGAGAATGTCTTAAACTGTGGCCACTTCATAGAGCGACAAGGAGTGAAACAATCTTAAAAGTGATCATGGCTTGACAAATTGTACTTAAATGTGTCAAGCCAGGGAAAGAGTCACTTAGGGTAAGACTTTCTAATCCATGGCACCAAGCAAACTGCCAACTTGATAACCTTAATGAGTTCAGTGGAGTGGGTGGGGCTGCTTTTGCCTTGAAGCAGGTTTCTTAACTTGGACTGTGTTACTCAGCTTTTCATCACTGGGACAAAACAGCTCACAGGAGGGAAGGTTTGTTTTGGCTCATGGTTTCGGAGGTTTCAATCCATGGTTGCTTGGCTCTGTTGCTTTGTGCCTGTGTGGGCACAGTAACACTTGGCAAGAGCACATGGCACAGGATCCCATTCATCTCATGGTAGACAAGAAACAAAGGGGGAGGCAGGAAGGGGCCATGGTCCCAATAGTCCCTTGAAGGACATGTCCCCAATAACCTAACTTCTTTCAACTAATCCCCCACCATCTCCCAGTAGTGCCACAGGCTGGAGACCAAGCCATCAACAGATAGGCCTTTGTGGGACATTTAAGATCTACACCATAACACATTCTATGGATATTTGGGGCCAGATAATTCTATATTGTGGGACTGTCCTGTTCATTGTACCACGTCTAGTAGCATCCCTGGCATCTAGCCACTAGAAACCAGGGATATGTCTCCAAAGTTGTGACAACAGACAATGTTTGCAGACATTGGCAACTATTCTTTGGGGGTAGGGAAGACAAAAGTGCCCCTATATGAGGTCCATTTCCTTAAAGGCTATAACATTCCAGGGGAAATAACATTATTCAGGCTCACAATAGAAGCTCATTGCATATTGCATTCAGGGAAATGGGATTGGTGACAGGGATGTGAGTCAAAGGACAGAAACAGGTGTATGTGACAAAAATCTATTTCTAAGACAGACAAAAAGATTTCTGCAAGCAACGGGCTCCTTGATCTTTTCTGACCTCCCTTCCCATCATTCCCCCTCCTATCCTCATTCCTCCCTAGTCGATGGCTCAGAAAACATAAAAACTCCAAGTAGTGGTCTGACACATAGAAGCCTCTGGCACATGGTGGCCCCTGCCCCAGTCTGTGGTACATCTGGGTCTAATGGCTGACCAGACCTGTGGCAGGCTCACAAGAGTTACCTGGGGAGCATGTTATTGATGACTCTTCAGAGGAAGGTTGGTGGAGAATTTTTTGTGTGCACATGAAAATCACTTCCTAATTTTCTCAAGAAGTGCTTTTGAATTTCAAAATAAAAATGTTAATATACCACTAACATAAATGAATAGTGGTGATGATGAGGATGGTGGTGGTGATGGTGATGAAGGCTTCCTTATTGAGCTGCAGTTTCACACCAGACTCTGCTAAGTCCCCCTGAGACTATCTGATTTAATTCTCACATCAGCAGTCGTTATCCCTAATGTGACACTGAGACATGGAGATAGGTGAAGGTACTTGCTCAAGGTTACCTGGCTGGACAGGGTGGCATGAGATCTCTGCTACACATCTGATGACCTCAACCAGCTGCTCCCGTAGAGTCTCACTCTGGGTTTCTGGTGCCTAAGGGGCCATCCTAAAATCCTTTCCCAAGTATCTGAGTGATGTGAACTTTCATTTCATCTCAACTCCTTATGAAACCTAAAACAATCACCAGATTATATACTTATTAAGGGGACCAGAGATATGCTTAGGGGTTCACAAAATCAAATGACTCGTCCTCTCTCAGCTGTGGCATCACCTTTTGGGGTTCCCACAGAGCTCTCCTCCCTCCACCCTGCTCCATTGTCCTTACCCATCCTTACCCCCAATTTCTTGCCATGCCCAGGGAAGGCTTAGCCGCTGTCCTGACACCCTCCTTGAAAGCCCAGGTTTACTCTCTAGGATTAGAGCTCTGCCACCATTAGACTCCTCCAGTGGCCCCTGCTTCCCTGTCCACTAAAGGCGAAGACTCTCACTGCTGACCCCACTCAGGCCCTGGGACAAACCTCAGCCCAAGGTAAAACCCACAACACTCAGATCCTATGGACCCTCTTACATTCCGCAGAAGGCTGCTGTGTGTGGTGTAGATTTGAGAAAATCAGACCACCCTGGGCCCACCCAGCCTCCCCAGTCCATGTCTGATGGATTCTAAGGGGTGTTTGGAGAAGGGCATCCCTGCTTAATCCTGTCCTGCAGCCCAGCCCATTGTGCTGCCAGGATTCAAAAGGTCTCCTGATTCTAGAGTCCTCCATGTCCTGCCTCACTTCCCTCACCCCTGGCTCTCAGAGGTGCTCCCTGATAGCCACCTGTCTTTTCAAATTCCGGACCTCCCTACCTGCCCTTTCATTCCTGCAGAAGCATTTGTCTCTCATTTCCTGAGAGGTGAGGCTCCCTGGACAAACTTCCTCTTTTGTCTAAATTATACTCTCGGTTCCCTTCCTTCCCATTCATCTTAGTCAGCTGGGCTGTTAGAACAAAATACCCCAGGCTGAGCAACTTGAACAGCAGAGACTGACTTTCTCACAGTTCTGGAGTCTGGAATCTGAGATGAGGGTCCTACAGGGTTTGGTTTCTGGTGAGGGGTCTC